AAGACATTCTGTGTGAAAATTTCAGGGAAAAATATAGTCTTGACAAGTCGATAACAGAACTTTGGTTGCAGGCCGCCGAACTAGCAGGTAAGTGTAGCCAAGGCCTTAGTCTGTGAGTAGTCTCATTTACCTAGTGTGAGTAACTGTGGCAGAATCTGGCCTGACGTGAAAAAGCCACCGAAATAATGCGGATATTTGCAAATAGCTAGTAGCAGGATTTTGGGGGGGAGGTTATGACTACAGCTCATCCCTCACCTCAGAATGTCTTCTGCTACCAAGTGAGAACTATTTAGTTTTACAGACAAAAACCTCTCTGTATAACCATGTGGGATTTCTCCAAGTCATCAGAGTTTCCAAATCTAGGAAGAATACTGAAAAAGGAATTTTTTTATTCTAAACACTCCTCCTCCTTTTATCTTTCAAAGGATGTTAATTCCACCTCAAAATACTTAAAGGAAACACCGATCTGTATTTTTCAGTGCAGTGCATAAAGATACCTCCTCCTTCCCCCGCAAAATCCAAACAAACAAACAAACAAGGAGAGAAAAAGGATGAGAGGAAGGATTCATATATCATGCAGATAGGTGCCATTTTACACAAGAAAAAACCTTACCCAGCAAGTTCACCACCTTGGGCCTGTGCCTGGCCTGCGATGGCATCCATGATAGCATCCTGGGAATACATGCTGATCGGGGTGTTATACTGGGCATGAATTATAGTGGCCTTGCCACCCGGGCCTTTCACCTCAATGGGTTTGTGTGTAGACAGGGCAGAGTCCTTCAGGACATTAGGGTTGAAGCGTTCCACATACTCAGTGCTGGGGTTATGTGAGAGTGAGATTTGGAGACGAGACAAAGGGAGAAAGAAAAGAAAAGAAGGACAAACAGGTGATAATTATAAAAAGAAAAAGGCAGCAGCAGAGGAATGCGTGCACGTGCCTAAGACATCTCACCAAAAAAGCATCTGTTCAGACTGCTGGAGAGAAGGAACACACTGCGTAATGGATAACATTAACAAGGATGTGGTTTTTGTGTTGGCTGACAGTTTTGTAAACTTGAGACAGTTGCAGCCACAAAACAAAAATTATGGCAAATATAGCTGCTATTATACATATGTAGCTCTATGTCTACACCCAAAGAGCTCCCCATGTATTCCTTCAATCTTTTTAGAAAGATCTTCTAAGGTACTAGAAAGTTTAATGAGTTGAAATAAACATCTGCGTCTCTCTTATGCAGAATTACATTTTTTTCTATATGGATAATTCATCATGGTGCTATTTAGTACTCATGCTTTTCATCTTCATAGCCCTTTGCAGATATTAACAATTTAATCCTTATAGCACCTCTGTGAGGAAATGTGGAGGTTACCAAAATATGTAACCACTACAGGATAAATTTATTGCAAGGTCAGTCCTAAATCTGTCTACATCACAGTCGATAGGACAATTGCACTCCTTATCCTGAGATAGTTGCCTATTGTGACCTCCATGTGGGTAAGGATTTTTATTAGGGAAAATGAGGCACAGGCTGTTTAGGTGACACCCAAAATCCTGGAGGGAATCAGTGTCAGAGCTAGGATTTGAACGCCAGGGTTCCTCACTGTCAATCCTAAACTTAGATCATTAGGCCATGACTCTCAGCATCTTTGTAGACAGTGTTATACTCCTAGAGTTTAGCTTAAGTTTTTCCAAGTAACGTTTTAAATCGGATCTTCAGTCATTTAATTAACTGCTCTTGGCTACCACATGGGACACCATGGTTAAATTCTCATCTGTCACCCCCACCTCCTCCCTCAACCCACCAAGGAAATAAAGTGTTTTGGGTGTTTCAGACACTATATGCACATCCCTGAATGGTAGGGATTGCTTCACAGTGCTCAGCAGTAACTCTTCCAGTTTACTGAGCAACAATGAAGAAAAGGAATCTGCAATATTCATGGCAGGTCAGAAGGATCGGGCCACAGTATGGGCCTTTTAGAGTGTTTGTTAATAGAAGATGCCCCCTCAATCATTAAAGGAGAGAGAAGAAAATCAAGGGGGTGAAAAACTCTTCCCACAAGTTGTGAAGACTCCCAGCAGACAACTGACTTGAGACTTGCGCTGATTATCATAGGTGATCTGCTCTCCCATGCAATGGATTCCAACTCCTGTAACAGCCTTTTGTTTGGTGAGATGCCTTTACTGAGGCCAACAGGAGAGAGATAGTTGTGCATTTTTGCAGCAATATTTGAGAAGAGCACTGACAGTAGCATGCAGCAGGGACAGGTGCATATAGATGCACACACATACCTTATTGCGAACAGAGCCCTGCAATACATGCATAGACATTTTGAAGGAATTAAGAAGCTTCATTATGCATTCGGTACAAATAAAAAACATGCATTTATTTGAACATTTTCACCATTTTAAATGTCTCTTAATTAACATGTTTAATAACCATGAGAACATTAGTCTATTGATACCATCTTGTAGAATGACTCACAAAGAAAGAGAGACTGCACATTATGCCTACTATTGGCTTCTGAAAATCCCCATGTTTTGTATTGAGGTGACTTTTCTTATCCCCACAATGTATCACGCCATCGGAGAGCAGTTCGGAATTCATAGACCCTGGAGATCATTTAATTCAGTGCTCTCCCTCTTTTCCATTAATAGGAGAAGGAAGACTCAGTGAAGGCATCAGTTTACCTAAACTGAAGCTGCAATTTGTATGAAAATATAATCCAAATCAATCCAAAAAAGGGCAAGAGGTCTCAGGGATGCTTAGGCTCGCATAAAAATTACTGATTTCAGTGTTGGAATGTGGAATTGAAGCAATTTCACTGCTCTCTTAACAGTCCTTCGCAAGGCAAAACATCAATTGAAATCAATAGGCATTTCCATAGAAAGAACTAGAAAAGGTCTCTTTCAACTGCAGAGTTTCTACTGCAATGTCGTGTTGGGAGGGGAGGAAATTTTAATGTCAATACAGGATGCTCAGTGCAGGACCTTTGGCAGAGGTGAGGAGCCAATTCTAGCAGGAGCAAGAGACTAAGAGCTACAAATCTGGGATCTCTGCAAAAGATAATGCTGACAGGCATTCAGCAGGTGAGCAAAATTTATACAGCTTGGTAGCAGAACTCTGGAAGTATGCAGGAAATGTAACAGAAGAGTGTAAGATAAAATATAGCCCATACTTTGATTTCTGCTACATCGGCCCTACAACTCCAGGGAAAAATTCAGTCCTAAGCGTAAGTGGGAAAATGCTCTTCTGACTTCAATGGAAGTTTTATCCATTTGTTCCTAGCTACATCAAAGGCTTAATGTGGGCACCACACACTGCCAAATCAGTGTAAATTACACATATGTTGCTCACCCTCTAAACGCCAATTCAAGTTGAACTACTCTATCATTTCCACCCATCCTCTTATCAGTTAAACTTGATATTTAACTTGCTTCATCATTTACTTCGCTGCTGAATTTATCCCAATCTTGAGTTCCCATCAGTTTCTGGACTTCCAGAATGTTGCATGGGCAAGAGCAACTTCCAATCCAGAGAGGTCAAGCAGGAATTCAGAAGGGATCTTTCTGCTCGCTCCTCAAAATTGAAGGTCAAAGTTGAAGGGGAGTTGGGGGAATTTCCCTGCCTAAAAGCTGATGGGTCAGATCCTCAAGTACATACTAACTCCTTATTCAGGCAGAATTCCCGCTGAAGAAATGTACGTCTTAGATATTTAAAACCCAAGAGCTAAACGTTGAAGTCAATGGGAATTTGGCTGGAATTGGACTTCAAGATTTGTATCTATCTCCTGAAGCTAAAAATACATTGGTAATTATATAATAAAAAGCCTTTAGCCAAAGCCCACAAAATCCTGGGGGTATGAAGACTATTGGAAGAATTAAGAAGAAATGCATGTATGACTTCAGGGAATTAAAAAGATCTGAAAAGCTCTTCAAGAGTTGAGCAAGTTCCAATCCAAGTTACATTTGCAAAGTTAGGGTATCAACATGAAATTCTAAACAAGCAGGAGAGTTTCAGAAATATTGTTAGACTAGAACCACTTCTGGATATAGTAGCCATGTATGATGCCTGCCGCGCCAATCTGGTCTTTTTCAATGCTTTTACCTTGCAAATAGACACAGCAAGAACATATGGGCTCATGCTACCCCAGAAAACAAATCCCCAAACATACAGCATAACACGTACACACTATTTGATACTAACTTGGCAGCAGTGTTGGCTATGACCTAGGGAAGAGAGAAAGAACAAACAAACAAAAGGAACAATAGTTTTAGAGTGTCAAGGGCAATATGTATTAACAAGGGTTTATAAAGCTTTATCAAACCATCTACAAATAGGAATAGAAAGCAACAGTATGCCTAAAAAACCACAATGGATTAAGAGAGAGGAGAAATGTAGGGATTATAGTTTATCCACAGAGACTTACTAAGGTACCAAGGCATTCTGGCTGATCCTTGACAACATTTTTATTACTGTGCATCACTGGAAGTATTGTTATTGAGGGTTACAGAGGCAAGGAAGCAGAACTATTTGCAGGCTGTATACTCCTCTTGAAATAACACAAGTGGGAGAGATTATATCCTCCTCCCCAGACACTAAATATTCATGTATGTAATGCCAGTCCCATCAGCCTGGCCCCGTATAGTCAATCCAGTGAGCAGGATCTGCTGAAGAATATCCAAAGAAAATATCAATAGATATTTGAAGGAAAAAGCCCCTCTACTTAACACATTACTGACCTGAATCTGATCTCACTTATATTGGTTTTACAGTGGTGTATATCAATTGATTTCAGTGGTCACTCCTGATTTTACACCAGACAAAGTGAAAAGCTAATCAGCCATGTAGTGGGATCAGTTGTCTCCCATGCAATCCCCTGTGGCCAGGGAAGCCTCTGAGGTGCCCTGCTAACAATTTTTCCCTCCAAGGGCTTTTTAAACTCAACACAGGCTTTTCTTGTCCATTCAGTATCCCTTCTTGAGGGTCCAAGTTTAATCACATAAATAAAGCTTCAAAGTAAAACTCAGTGTCCAAAAATACAGTCCATCATTTTTAACCTTTTGTCAGGTCACGCCCAGGCTTTTCCTACTTTAAATTGCAGTAGTGAAACCCCACGTCCTAGGTCTTTTTGCTAGAGCCTGCTCTGTCCCCAACAGTCTCCAATTTACCATACTCCCAGACCTTCTTGACTGAGGCCTTTCCTGTCTTTGCAGGCCACTCCCAGACCCTGCTGAGCTGAAGCCTTGGGCTCAGGTCTAGAGCCACAGATTTCTGCTTTGGCTCCAACCCCCCTGGCATCAGGGTCATCCTTGCAGAAGCCTTTTTTATTTCCTGAGCCTCCCCCTTTTCTGCTGCCCTTCATAAGAAATTACATGAGCCAACCGAGGTGTGCCCTTTTGGTAATCACGGTTGGCTAGCCCAAAGCCCTCCAGTCTTTTAGGAGCAAGCCACTCTGTTACAAGGCCTGAGAGCATTAATTTTGAGGCATTAATATTGTGTCTTTTTGAGGTCAGTAACAGGACATAATGCAGGAAAAAACAATATTTACGTAGCATCGTTCTCCACTGCATTAACAATAACTGGTTGTAGCCTGCCGAGCAATTGGAAAGCAGCACAACACAAGGAATCAGAATTTAGATCTCAGGCAGGCAGAAGCTGGGAGCATGACAGAAGCAAGGAGCTCAGACCTCTGGTAAGTGGAAGCTCCTTATATCATTCCCCAGTGACCTCTGCTAATGGATGCAGAGAGTGGTACTGATGGGATCTGGATGCTCATTTTCACATAGTCTTTCTCAAAGCTTTGAGAACATGAATCTTTGCCCTCCTTCTTGCCCCATCCCTCTGGATCATGGATAGCAGATCATGTCTGTGACCAAGGAAAAAGTGGACAAGATTCCATGCAGAGATAGTCAACAGCATTATTTTCTAATTGGCTGCATAAGACACTTTTGATAGATCTGGGCATCATCATCTTCCCAGTTGCTTCTGCAACATTTCCAGCCTTGGGAGTGAATCTGGGTCTCCCACAGAGCAGTGCTGAGCAGCCTTACGACTGGATTGGCCCACAAGTTAGGTTTGGTTCCCCCTGCTTTCATCTCAGTGACTCTTTGGAGTAGCTTCTTCTTTACATAAGGTTTTTCTGCAGCTCTGTCACTCAAGTTTATTTTTAATTAACAAAAAACAGTGCAGCGAGCCAAAGCCGTGGCATGGGGCTCTATGCGGTTGCATTTCTCTGGACATACAGTCACAAAATGCCTTTTTTTCCAGTGTCTGCCCCTCAGATTCTCAGCTTTGAGAATATTCTGCCAGCTTTGTAAACCATGCAATGAGCCAAATATATCTGTCTTTTACAGGAATCAGTAGAGATATATTAGGAACAAGTTGTAGCCTGTAAGCAGATCAGTGATTCTATATCCATTTTAGGTATGTGCAAGACAGCTGAGCAACCGCTTACAGTGAAACATGGTGTAATAGTATCATTTTCTGAAGTGAACTCTGATGGCTATTCTAATCCTCTCAACCATGTCTGTGCATAGAAAACAATATTTTCAAGGTAGAACTGGAGTTTGTAAAATACCCCTTAAAAGAGAGAGCAACCAATTCTTTGATGGTGGAGTATGAAGAACATGCACATGTAAACTATGTTTCATAGACAGAAAAAATACTGTGCACACATTAGTCTTCTGAGAAGTGGTCAATATCCTCAAATCTCAGCCAAGATTTTTCAGACTTAAACAGATTATCACAGCTCCCTCAAGCTATAGTAAAGCTTAGCCTCTCTTGATATGCTGGGTTGAGATGATAAAATTTTCTCCAGCTCAGTCCCACACATCATTTTAGTTTATTTCTAAATATGGGCAGGTACTGAAATACGCAACCTGCTCACTCAAAGATGCCACAGAGTAACAAGCTGGTAACCCTACCCCCCTGACACACAAACACATGCAGGACAGGTATTTACTGCCCTAGCCAAAGACGTGCAGAATAACACAGGCTGGAATGAGAATCCATACATGAGAATCTATGACTCATTCTCAATCTGTATTAATGTTCCCCAATGCAGAACCTTTACTCCATTAAGATCTGCTGCTGACACTGTAATAGGCACTCCTGCAAAAAATGTTCACCCTTGCCCTGTGATAAGCCCTTAATTCCAGAAGTGCATAAGAGGAGTAAGGGTCTGGGAACTCAGTAAGAGACAGAGAAATCAATCCAATCTTCCTTTGCACTTGCTGACAGAATTTTAACAAGGGACTCCCCAGAGTCCCCTTCAATACATCACTGGATCTGTTTAGATGTTTCACAGGATACAAGTTAAAAAAAATCCCAAACATTTAAATATAAAATACACCTGGGATCTACCTGCCTATGTAGGTTCTTATACAGTATCACTTATAGACTAGTACCAATCAGAGTCAGAGCTGACCTTGCAGAGACTGTTTTGCTTATGCACATGTACTGCTTTTTATGAATGTACAAACCCAGAAAAACAGAGAATCATGGATAACATAAGCACTAAACCTCTAGCAGGTCTCAAGAAAGCTAGTATTCCTTTTTAGATTGCAGTCCACAGGGCTTCTCACTTCATGGATAACATACAAATGGAAATGGGGGCCCGGGAACACTGAATTTTCACAACATGCTACCATTACAGAGACACTTGTGCTGAGTAATTTCAGGCTACTTGTACTTTGCTGAGTGCTTAACAGCTATCAAAACAGCTCTTTCTTTCCCAGGTTGGGGTCCATTAACTGTACATGATTTTTCATATTGCCCCGTTTATTTATATGTAAAAAAAGGAGGCAGAATTGGCTAAAATTTATGAATATGTTACAGCTACTCACTCAAAAGCACCCCAAAACCATATTCAAATTCAGAATGAAATCTCAGGTGTGGGTACCATGATAAAAGCTTTAGTTTTGTTATTGGGAGTCTTACACTTAAACTTGGAAAGATTCAATTTTTATTGGTAAATGTCAGTAAGTTTTGATGTAAACACATACTTTGATGAAAAAAATATTTCCATTAGTAATAATCCAAATTTATAGCTTAGCAATGTAAGAAAGAAAAGTGCTGCTTGAGAACTTGTTAGAGTTTGATTTAAGGATATTTCCTTTGTATATTTTGACACGTCACATTAACAATTTGTGTTTTAACGATTATAAGGCTTTAAATTTTTGAATCTCAATGCCTACGGTCATTAAATAACTATTGTCTGACACCCCTGCCCCAATTTCCTGCAATTTTGCACAATGGTGAAAATGTAAATTGGAAAAAAAATTACGTTTAAAAATAAATATCCATATTATCCATCCAAATTATAAAAAAAATAAAATTGAATTCTGCTAAGCCTTCTTATGCTATGTCTCAGTATATTACCAGCAGGTTACAGATGTGCACCAAGAGGCGCATAAATTATTTTGTGAGAGTGCTTGTGCATATATGTGGGAAGAAGTGGCACATATAGAAAGGCAGTGCTATGAGGTAGGGGGATTACTGTGGAGCTGGTTCAGTGTCCCTATTTTGTTTGCCTCCTTAAGGACAAATGCTTCTATTATGTGGCCTGATCCAATGCCTACTGAAATCAATGGAAAGGCTCCTACTGATGTAAATGAGTGGCAGATGCAACCCTATAGTGTGTATTTTTTTGTAATAGTACATAGTAGGAATACTCAGGCAGTTCATCTGCCCACAATTTACCTAAAGGAAAATACAAGGAGAAAGGTTAACAAGGGATGTGAGGAGGCCAAGACAAGGGAGGTAAGATGTGCTACTGAGGAGCTGTGAGCGCTAAAACAGGTAGAGAAATGATACTTTTCATCATGAAAAATGTAAATAAAAACAAAAGCTTTTTTTGGTCTGTTTCTGCTGAAAAATGTCTTTGAATTTAAGTCTCTTATAACCAAATGTAGACAGCACTTTTGAGTTTACAGTGCTAGGGCTTGATTGTGCTAGTGAGCGCTAGGCTCACTGTCTTGCATCTTGTGTAGTCATTTACACTAATGCAAACTAAAACACTATCAACTCAGAATAATAGCATTTTACATCCACTTTGCTCTCATGTAAGTGACTATGCAAGGTACTGGGCAAAGGAGAATCAGGCCCCTATTGTATTTTTCTCTTGCTCTCAGCCCCTCATTTTGTATATTATATTGAACTAAAGGAAAGCTTTGGTGACTAAATTGTGTCTCTGGGAAGTTTTCCCTTTATCTACCTGTTAATATACTTCTGCATTGTTATTTGAAATACTCTTTTCCTTAATCAGACCTTAATTATCCAAACAGAAAGGCGGACACAGGATTTATTCAGATAAGGGTGCTGAAAATTCCTTGTTTTTCCTAAAACACATTGGGAAACATGACTTCATTTCAGATAAAGACAGCTCTGGGGTAACTGACTTATAGGTGTGTTTGTAAATTAACATATCATAAATAAAAGTAGAAAGGTGGGAAAGTAACTCTTTCCCATGTCTGTCATTTATTTCAACATTTCTGTAATGTAGTCCAAGCTTGTGGCAAAAATACCTGCTCTACAAATACAGTACAGCACTGAACAACTTCATATTCTGAAATAAAACTAGGTGGGATCACCTCTATATCTTACCAGGTGGATAATAACTATTGAGTATTTCTTTCCACACAGGTGGAATAGTGCTTAGATTTGAGCTGGGATGACATTCAAACCAAGGGGGTCAAACTAATAATAATTCAATCTCAATTTGCACCGGAAAGTGACTACATTGAGGAAAGTGTTACAGAAGTTCACTGCAATAGATTAAGATTGTTATCTTAGCTGCTCCAGGCAATTTCTCTTTAGGAAAGTGTAGTTTCATATCCCTTTTACAGCAACTTCCATACAGGCCTGTAGTTGATATTCAGGTCAACCAGATTAAGTACAGAGAATTAAATTGAAGAATACTAACACGCTGGTTTAGTCACAGGTACCTTAACCACAGTGTTCCTCCTCATGCCAGGATACCCAGTAGCCAATCTGTAATACAATTCAGGATACCAAAGACCAAGAGTTGTTATGAAATAGCACCATGTGTCCTGTTTGAGGTGGGGAAAGGTTTAATAACTATTTTTCAGGACATCATTAATGATAATTACAAGACAAATTCACAGTATAGTAACTGGTTTTATACTTCATTCTTCAGCTAATTACTTACTTAATGAAACATTGAATTAATCACCATGTTACCTACCCTCTAGGAAGTCCACCTTCTGAAGCCCTTCGTTTGAGACTTAATTTATGCATCTCAGCCATTTCCTTTAGAGTCTCTGCTGAGTAAAGGCCAATGGGGTTGTTATATTGCCTTGCAGGGCTCAGCTGGTGTTTAGGACTACTGCCATCAGTGAACACAGGACTTAGTTTTGAACCTAGGTTACTCTTTGCAGGTGAAATGTCAGGTGTCACAGATAGAGAGGCCATGGAAGTTCTAACTGCAGTGGTCTTTAAGAAGGAAGAGCTATTTGAACAGCTGATCTCCTGCTTGCTGAGGTAGCCTGAAAATGTTCCATTGGTGGCTAAAATACTACCCAAAGGCCCAGTCGCTGTGCTAGTTAGAGGACTGAAGGTTGTTCTGTTGCCACTGATTTCCAAAGCAGGGTCCTGTAGTAGCAAACATGCAGGCCAAGAAAAGAAAAAAAGAGCAATCATAGAACACATGCAAAAAGATATATCTATATCTATTGCTTTCTGTATATATTCATACACTTGAGACAAATAGATTAGTGGCTGAGGTAGCCAGCCTTTTGATAAAACAGAACATTCAATTGATCTTCTTTCAATAGGGTGGGACTACACACTCAGGCATATTTTTTAGTTGAAATATACAAGTTAAAATTTAATGTCAAAAGAGCATCTGTTATTAGCTGAAGATATAATTAGATATCATTTGATAGACTATATCTTCCATTCATTCCTATGATAATTAAGGAAATCTGAATGGTTTGAGGTCAGTCCCATTTGAGGCAATAATATACAAGTACAAAAATCTATGCTATTAGCTAGAAATTTAAGATCTAATATTTCTGAAATCACAGCATTCAATTTCTCACGAACAGTCCTAAAATTAATGAAGCCCTTAAACTGCATTCTTCTCATAGGCTCCAGGTCATGCTAATAAGGCCATGCAACATGGTTAGCAAGTAGGCTGAAAGAACTCAAGAAGGTGTATTAACCAACAGGTATAGTTTCTCTTTTATGCGTGTGCATAATTTCCATTTAAATGAATGGAAGTTAAACAGGCATAGAGCATGAAATTGCACCTTAAGTGTATAATTCCACATCTGTGATTTGGATGTTTTTTTCAAGCTAGGACACTATGGAATATTGTCTTTGTGAGGATCTCAAGAAGTCCTCCCAATATCAGACATATCCAAGACCTCCTGCTGGTGCCTCACATTAGAAGCACATCTTAACTTTCTCAAAACCCACTCTGGAAAATAATAGAAAAGTATGCGTTTTGTTAAATATAATGTCAATAAATGGTTTCCTACCAATGCTGCAAAGTACAGATTAAATAAGGTTAATAATGAAAACAGGAAATAATGACATTTTCAGTAACACATTCCACACAAAAAATAATCAGCAAATCGTAAGAGAATTAGACCATAAACTATGAAAAGGACAACTCACCTCCTCTCCCTGCTCCCTCTCATTCAAAAGTTTTGAGCTAGTGCTTGCTGTGATCTAGATCAGCGGTTTTCAAACTGTGCGTCGGAACCACAAAGTGGGTCATGACCCTGGGGTTGCCAGGGCTGGCTTAGACTTGCTGGGGCCCGGGACCAGAGCCAAAGCCCGAGACCCACCACCTCGGGGCCGAAGCTGAAGCCTGAGCCCCACTATCTGGGGCCGAAGCCCGAGGGCTTCAGCCCTGGGTGGAGGGGGTCAGGTTACAGGCTCCCTGCTGGGGCTGAAGCCCTTGGGCTTTGGCCTCCCCATCTGGGGCGGTGGGACTCGGGCTTTGGCTTTGGCCACCCCCACCCAGAGCGGTGGGGATTGGGCTTTGGCTCAGGCTTTGGTCCTCCCTCCTGGGTTCATGTAGTAATTTTTCTTGTCAGAAGGGGATTACGGTGCAATGAAGTTTGTGAACTCTTGATCTAGAGCATTGCCTTGTGCCCCTTCAGCACAAATTCACCCCAGGTGTAACTCCACATAAGTCAGTGGGAGTTGAGGGCAGCCAGCATTTCTCAGGGCATACAGAGTATCTGGCAGGACGGAACCTTTAGATCCAACTAAACTGCCTATATTTCCATCATTTGCTCACTGTGGTGTATCATAACTAGGATATTGTTTTTTTGTATTTTCTTTAAGAAGTCTGTCTGTCTGCTAGAGGGAACGGCTGCAAGAAGATTAAAGATGAAGGATCTTACAGAGCAAGAGAAAGATGCTCTGTTTTAACTCTCATGGGCATTTTAAATGTATGTAGTCTCTTTGTTTTCTCCTTAATTTGAAATAAAAGACCATCTAGATCTTAAGAACATGGTTTTCCAATTTGTGTTTGGAAAATCTAACTCATAAATCCACCACACCAGTGTTCAGCATGTCTTTGTCTTCACAATGCCCAACTTTTTGTGCCCCTGTTTTGCTATTAAACCAAAGCTAGTTCCAATAAATCCATTCCCTTTCATCTTTTAGCCTGGTTGGTACCTCAGTTCAATAGTTCAAACTCTCCTCGTGGAAGGTGTCTTTGTGAGACTTTTTTTTCTGTTATGTTTTGGCAGGTCACTTGATAATGGAGTATCCATGAGCAATCAGCATAATTATTATATATATTATCATAATACTTAGGAGCCCTAGGCATGGAATCCAACTGTGCTAGGCACACAGAACAAAAAGAGGGTCTCTGCCCCAAAGAAATTCCAATCTTAAGTGCATGTACCTCTTGTAAAACCTTTCTACTATACTTAGATTGTAAGCTTTATTTTTCCTTCTGTTTGTTTATATGATTTGAACGAAACAGGACAGCAGCAGACATTTTCCGGCATTGTTGTATCTGTTGAACGCCAGTGTATAGTGAGGCACTAGATAAAACATTTGGATGAATGGGGAATTTGTGGATTTCTTAGTGTATATGTGATATCAACTTGCAATCTATCCCAGAAGCTTAGAGTCCTGTCTTACAGCTAATTTACGCTGACCCTGATTCAGAGCTGTAGAGGGGGCACCTTTTCCCCACCCCTGTGCATGTGGACACTTAGAAGCCATAATTAATAACCACATGCTTGGAAGCACAAGATTGGAATGCCTGTCAGTGTTGCTGCCAGGACTCACATCCCAGGGGAGCGTATCTAAAAAGGGATGTAGCCCCTGCAGCAGCAAAGGCCAAGAACACCGCTCCAGACTGGAGTTGAAGGCTAAACCTTTCAAAGGTTTTGAAGGAACTGCTACTCAGCGTAAGTCCCTCAGTGACCTCTGGGGGCACTCTGCCTCATACAGGGCTATAATGGTTTGCAGGATCATATTTGGACATCCCAAATCTGCAACCCCACTGGCTTCTATGAGGTTGCAGAGGGTGTAAGCCTGAGCAGAGTTTGGCCTTCAAACTGAAATTTACAGAGTCAACGATGTCATTGTCAATGAATATTAGTTACTCGCATTGGGTCTAATTATCCACTGTTGGCTTTCTGGTGTGAGGCCATTGAGGCTATGGAAAATGATTATCTTAATGGTATATTTCAAACTACTGCTTTTTACATATTTTGTCCATAATTAATCACACACTTTGGTCAATATGTTCTGAACTCAAAAAAAGTCTGCAAATAACCCTTGGTAATTGCCTATTACAGGCGTCCAAGTATCATTAAACAAATAAAAAACAGGATTTCCACCTAAAATATATATTTTTAAAGAGGAACAAATGCACAATCCTTTCTCAGATAATGAGTCAACAATTACATAGATGCTCTCCTTCTGAAAGCTGTACATCCTGGCAGGACGGAAAAATCAAGGTGAAACACATACAACAACAACAGAAGGAACATACAGCATCTGATGAAGCTAGATATGTAGGTTAACTAGAAAAAAAAACATTTCAGAATCAATGAAAATTTAATGCAGGACTCCTTCCCCTCACCTCTGATATAGGGAAGGGTACTGTGGGGGAAAATTATTAAGTGGTGTTAGCGTGAGCTCTAGAAGAGAGAAACATTTTTAATCAATAAAAAGCAACCTAATAATATTTGGCAGAACTGTAGATTAAATAAAAGGATGGTTATAGGAAAGGAAATACTGTGGATAAGGGGACAGAAAATGAAGGCTGGTGGGGTTGCCATCCTTTAGCTTTTGGGGGGAATTTTGGTTATGTTCCTCAAATATTTTCTAGCTAGGTTTCTTAACTGCATGTTGGTATTGATTTATTGTAACAGCTGATTACTGGCATAGGAAAACAGAACTATGTCCTACAGTTTACACTGGAAACCTGGGGGCCATGTCTGAGGTTTTTAAATTAAGACTATGAGAATTTTTGGAGACAAGGGGCAATTTGTGGGGTAAAGTGGAAGGATAGGGATATGGACTTTCAGCATCAGTATAATTTTCTAAAAGAACCATTTTCCACTGATCAGCTTATTTGGCTGTTTCCGCTCATGACTGATTAAAGTACCTGTTATTTGGTTCATTCATAAGAGTATATTTTAGATTAAATTATTGTTCTGTTTGTTTCAGTCTAGTGGCAAGAACAGACCAATGAAGGAAAAATTTATTGCACTTCTGAAATCTGAATGTCAGGCTTCTAGTAATGAACATCTCTTACCATTATATCTAATGAAATTATAAGTATTCAGCAGTGACTAACATTTCCTTGTTCCCCATCTTCTCCCCCCTCCACCCATTCCACCCCATCAAATTATCCCTGTGGCTGGAAAAATGGGCTAACATTTTCATCTATAAAAGTCTGTAGCTACCTTTCTGCTGACCAGAAGAGGAGGCTCTAACACTGGGCATTGGCTTCCTCCCTAGAGAAAGATGCTGTCACCTTGCTGAGATCCCTTGCTACATGAAGAAGTCAGGCAGCTGGATTCTAATTTTCCAGTGTAACGGTGAGATACCACATCAATGGATGAGCTTAAAAATGATTATGTAGAGGAGAACACAGAACATTTGGGGGTGAAAAGAGTTTATTATGAAGCATTAGCTGAGTCTGTTCTTTGTTCTCAGTAAAACCATTTTTTTTAACTTTCTAATATTCATCTAACTTCTCTAAGGGCAGAACACTCCCCTTCACCTGTGGGACAGGAGGGGAACCTCAACATGGGCATCACTGGCTTCTAGAGTGGGAGGTACCAAAACAGTATGCCAATTTGTCAACATGCTCCACTTTCATCCTCACCCCAAAGAAGTCTCTTTACATGCATTGTGTGGGTTAGGGATGTGGGAGTGGGGAGAGATGGACCAGGGTGAACAAGAGCTGACTGAATGAACATTAACTTGTATGGATTCATTACATGATGTGAACTCTGCTCTAGTACAAAGGTGGGACTCAAGGGGCTTCTGGGTATGGGGACCCACAGCCAGGCACTGTGTTAATGCACTATTGAGACTGCACTGTTAAGCACTCAAGTCAGGAAGTATGAAAGGTAATGTTAACTCTGACCTTACTATGAATTGGGATACAGTCTTTAATTAGAATATTATACCAATTCTTTGAATGTCTACAAGAATGATTTCAAGTTTTTAGAAACATTAATTATTTAATTTAGCCTTACAACACCCTTATTAAGAAGCTAGTTGTTACTATTACCCTTCACAGACAAGTGAACTGAGGCACAGAGAAATTAAGTGAGTTGTCCAGGGTCATACAAGCAGTCTGTGGCTCAGTCAGGAATAGAACAAAGATTTCCTGTTCTGTGCCTTATTCAACAAGACCATCCTTCCTCTAACTATGATTGCTGGTTATTTTACATACATGTTCACAGTGTTGTAGACTATACTATTCATAAACACAAGGAGGCTCAGATTCCGACTGGGACTCTGAGAGCTACCGTAATAGACATTAATTACCATAATAATTTTATAGCATCATATTTCATAAATAGTACAGAATATGATGATATAAATAAACATTATATCATAATGCCTATATGCAAAAGGACAGAGTTAAGGCAGTGTGTTGACCCTTAAATTTCATACTTCCTCACTCGTAGATGCTTAACTATGAACCCTAATGTTGCATGAACACAGAGCATTTATGAACCTTTAGTTCAATTCTCTGGAAGAGTCCCCATCTCTCTTTCCTCCATTTTGAATGACTTCTAATCACAACTGTTCTCAGTCTTGGATATATCCTTCTATTCTTTCAATATTTCATGCCTAGAGCTGTGCAAACAGCTTCATTTAACTCGCAAATGATTAATCTTGCTTTGAGTTGTTTGGTAAGCAAAAAGTATACTGTGATCCAATCAAACATTCATTCCCTCCAGCAGCCCCGGAGCCCAGTTGATCTCATGTATCACAGACGTTCAGCTCAAAACACAGATTAGCTGAAGAAAATGAGGAGACAATGGGCTCCACTGGGGATGCGGGAGCATTCCTACCAAGCTGAAAAAAAATTGATTGTGCCTTTCAATAGGCTGAAGTTGCACCTAATATGAGTTCTTATATAATCAGTTGCTGACAGCAGTTGAAAAGACATACATGCTTGCAAATTAGCAGGAATTACAATTGAGTCAGCAGAAATAATGTGTATGGTTTATATCAGCCACTGAACTTGTCTGCACATGCAAGAGTCCTTAGCTGCATGCATTATCCCTGACCCAGAAAGACTACCCCTACAGGTGAGGGGACAGCTTGGCAATGATGGTTTTATAATGTAGCCACTTGCTCTCTGGGAGCTGAAATGAAATCAAACTAATTTCATATGGGTCACTGCAGTAGCCATCAGATCAACTGGAACTAGACACCTAGCTCTGTGTCTCATTGACAGTCCCTTAAAGCAGCCAGTCCCCCAATGCTAAGGCTATTCTAAGATGGCTTTTAAAAAGTAACAAGTTTTACTTTAAACAAAACTTTATTTTAACAATATATTTACTGTAACATACCTTACCTCAACATACATGAAATACTAGTTTACATCAGTAAGATCTTTTTTATACCATATTTGAGATCTCTGCTTTAGTGATTCAAGACATTCATGCTCCAACTATAATGCCCTCCCAATACACCATTAAAGAGGACTCATTTCAGCTACTGAACTCATTGACAATTTCACTCTACATGTACCACACGTGACATCTACTGCAATCCTCCTAGCCCAGCATGAGAGAGACTGAACTTCCCCACAACCTCTGGATATACATCTGACCCCCAGTCGCCTTGCTCTAAGACATGCATCGTCATTCCCATCCCAACTGTCCAAGTCTCCCAGAATCCCTGGACAAGCACCCTAAGCTGACCTACAACTGCCAGTTTCTTTCCAGTATCACCTTGGACAAATACCATGACTCACCTCTGAGGTGTAAAACCCTCTTCAGTCCTGCCAGAACTGCTACCCCAAAAACATCATTTCCACTCCTAGTTGCTACTAACCACACATCATACTCCCAGACAAGAGATCTGTGAGAAACCTCTTAGCACACTTGGAAATGGGATAGGACCCACATCCCAGCTCTTTGAAAAACCCTTAGCAAACACCAGAAATAATCCTACATCCAACCTACTCCCTCACCTACAGAATGTTCAGCTTTAAGGTGACATGCACCTAGAAACTAAATGTCTGTGCTTAGGCAATCTAAGACCTTTAATTCTCATAACACTATGAAGGGCTAAAACAGAAAATACAAGTTGAGCTGACACTCCAGCAACTATATCAAAGATATCTTTATGACTTTTTTAAACCAACAATATTTTAAAGAATTGATATGTATTTAACCTCCTCCCTTCCCCCTTCTTACATATTTACCATATAGAAACAATTTTGGTAAGATAAGTGACCACTTAGGAGATATTTTAATTGACATTTGCCAGACATGGAGTATAGTTAATTATGGAGTTATCAAAATGTGATCTCTTGAAACTATGGCTTGCCCATGAATGAGCAATCTCTGGAGCTGTGCAGGTCTGTCACATCCATTCAGATGCTCCTGGGAGTCAGTGTGTCACATAGAAGCCCTGGAGAAGTTCCAATACATGAAGAGATGAACAGTTTACTAGGTCACTCAGGCTGCTTTGGAGGCTAAAAATTCTCTGACAATTTCCTTTCAGGGAAATACAGAACAAAACAACCCTTACTGGGCTAGTGAAGAGGGAGACAGTTCTAAACAAAAGACTGGAACGTTCTTCTTTTCCATGAGAATTCATAGTGATATTCCATATTTCCTCTCCAATAACCTTCTGTCCCACAAAATAACAGTCTCAACTGGTGAGCCCCATAATATTCTAGTATGAGAAGAGGCAGACATTTCCATCATCTCTCTGGATGAAGCAAATGGACATACACTTTGACTCCTCTTCCTTTCCCGCAGTGCCCTCTGTAGTCTTCAGAAAAAATATATAAAGGGGAACAACTCCCTGCAGGATAAATTTTAATATTTCTTCTTTCCCTGCCCAAATACCCATAAGGCACTTGAGTGACATAATATTGTTTCTGACTTGACTCAAAAGTGACTGAGCAGGTTCCTTTCAAATTTTCACAAAATTAATTAATAAATAAAAGCAAACATTTCGCCCCAAGATGATATCTTGTATGTTAGTTTCAACATGTCAGCAGCTGCTGCAGGGAAGACACAAACCTCCTGAGCTCAGAATTTGGAATGCACAGTATTTATAAGAAATGTTTGAAGCTGATGTGTACTCTCTGTTATTGATTTGGGATCTTAAATGGTTTGTCTTGTTTCTTATTTTATGTCATTGGGTGTGTGTGTGTGAAATTAGCTCCCACAGAGTAGGTAGGATTGACAGTAGGGACTGCACTTCCCTGTTTATCCAATCAATAAGAGTACAGCCTGGACACTGGTAGTCCAAATTTCCTCCTCCTGCGCTGCCAATGCACTGCATAGAATCATAGAAGTGTAGGACTGGAAAGGACCTCAGTAGGTCATCTAGTTCAGTGCCCTGCACTCAGGGCAGGACTAAATAATAACTAGACCATTCCTGACAGGTGTTTGTCTAACCCATTCTTAAAAACCTCCAATGACGGAGATTCCACAACTTTGCTAGGCAATTTGTTCCAGTGCTTAACCACTCTGACAGATAGGAAGTTTTTCCTAATGTCCAACCTAAACCTCCCTTCCTGCAATTGCTTCTTGTCCTATCCTCAGAGATTAACGAGAAAAAAATTTCACTCTCCTCCTTGTAACAACCTTTTATGTACTTGAAAACTGTTAACATGTCCCCTCCCCATCTCAGACAACCTCTCATATCTAGGGATAGGAAGATACACAATTGCAGCCATTCATAGTCTCTGGCCACCCTACAGAGACTGCAGACACAGTTGCTAACTAGACGGTGAATGCTAGCAGTGGTGATGGCTTTTGGACATCTATATCCTAGGAGATGGACTTAGTCCATGGAACCTGAGCCATCCACTTTCCCCATCATTCACTGTTCATCTTTACATTAAATTAACCTCTATTTTTTGGTGTCACATTTATTAATTGACCTGACAAGAAGGCACAGCTACCAATAAAGATTGTAAAATGCCTTAATGTCATCTAGTCTAGCCAATCAACATGTTGTCAGTTTTAGTCAATTTTTAGCTGAGCTGAGCCATATGCTAATGGGGTTTTTCCTCAAGTGCTTTGGGAAATGACTGTATATTTTGAGAAGCTTTGATAGGCTTAGCTACCTACAGCCTAGAAGAGAACAGAATAAAAAAAAGTCAGAAATGCTCCAGGTGCTCGGAGAGGATTAGACCAGATACCGATTTATGTTTATGTGATTTATGTTAGAGTCAAATAACAAGAAGCACTAAAGAGATAATATGTTACATACCTTCTGATGGGGAATTACAGGCCTGGGAGAGTCAACTTTAGGTGTGGCTGTTGGAACTGGAACTGGGCGTTTAGATCTGGGGATCAAAACATTCCAAAAAAAGATTAATAATCAGAACAACCTCGTCTCTTATTTTTTTTAGATCCTTTCAAACACCTTTTATATTTCACTGAAAAATTACCCTTTATCCAGAGTGAAAGCCATATGTAGAAACCAGCCTAGCCTCTTGTCAACCACCAACATTCTGTCTCCATCAATAAGCAAGATCTTCCCTTCTGCTTTTAGGGTAGAATTGCCAATTTTGGTTGGATGTATTCCTGGACATAATCTTTCATAAAAGATTATTTTTTAATTCCAGGAGACTCCAGGACAATCCTGAAGGGTTGGCAACCCTACTTAGAGAGATCTTTGAAATCTGAATTAAACTTTTAATTTTTAGCAATGCTGACAGGTCAAATATTCAAAAGTGTCATGAGAGATGATTTTGGGAAGCTTCAATTTTTGGGTGCCTAGATCTAGATATAGGAGCCTGAGTGTCTAGGTGCTGAGCACCAACAACTCTAGTTGAAGTCAATCTAAACTGGAAGTGCTCAGCACTTCTGATAATCAGGTCCACTGTGTCTTAAGATGCACATTCTAAACTTGACAGGTTTCAGAGTAGCAGCCGTGTTAGTCTGTATCCGCAAAAAGAACAGGAGTACTTGTGGCACCTTAGAGACTAACAAATTTATTTGAGCATAAGCTTTCGTGGGCTACAGCCCACTTCTTCGGATGCACTATGTAGCCCACAAAATGGGTAAGGACTGGTGTCCCTAGCCTCTGTTTGAAAGGACCTTCCCTTTTATCCCATGACAACTTAATTTACGTAAGAGTACATGTAGGTACCAATGACATAGGGAAGGGTAAGAGAGATGTCCTGGAGGCCAAATTTAGGCTGCTGGGAAGAGACTGAAATCCAGGACCTCTATGGTGGCATTCTCAGAAATGCTCCCAGTTCCACGCGCAGGGCCAGGTAGGGTGGCAGAGCTTCAGAGTCTCAATATGTGGATGAGACGATGGTGTAGAGAGGAGAGGTTTACAGTCATTAGGAACTGGGGAAACTTTTGGGATGGGGGGAGCCTATACAGGAGAAATGGGCTCCACCTAAACCAAAGTGGAACCAGACTGCTGGCACTAAACATTAAAAAGGTTGTAAAGCAGTTTTTAAACTAGGAGATGGGGGAAAGCCAACTGCTGCAGAAGAGCATGTGGATCGGACAGAGACTTCTCTTAGAGGAGAGTCTATTGATAGATATTCTCTAGGTTTTAGTCAGGAGGAGAGGATGGAAGAGGATAATGTAAGGGCCAGATCAGACAAGAAACATTCACATAAAAAGAATCTGACACATCAGAAAAGGACAGACAAATAAACAGTGACAAGTTTTTAAAGTGCTTGTACACAAATGCTAAAAGTCTAAATAATAAGATGGGTGAACTAGATGCCTTGTGATAAAGGAGGATATTGATATAATAGGCATCACAGAAACCTGGTGGACTGAGAGCAATCAATGGGACACAATCATTCCGGGGTACAAAATATATCGGAAGGACAGAACAGGTCATGCAGGGGGGGAGTGGCACTATATGTGAAAGAAAATGAAGAATCAAATGAAGTAAAAATCTTAAGTGAATCCACATGTTCCATAGAATCTCTATGGATAGAAATTTCATGATCTAATAAGAATATAACAGTAGGGATCTATTATAGACCTCCTGGCCAGGATAGTGATAGTGATGATGAAATGATAAGGGAAATTAGAGAGGCTATCAAAATTAAGAACTCAATAATAGTGGGGGATTTCAATTATCCCCATATTGACTGGGAACATGTCACCTCAGGACGATATGCAGAGACAAAATTTCTCGATACTTTAAATGACTGCTTCTTGGAGCAGCTGGTACGGGAACCCACAAGGGGAGAGGCAATTCTCGATTTAGTCCTGAGTGGAGTGCAGGATCTGGTCCAAGAGGTAACTATAACAGGATCACTTGGAAGTAGTGACCATAATATAATAACTTAACATTCCTGTGGTGGGAACAACACCTCAACAGCCGAACACTGTGGCATTTAACTTCAGAAAGGGGAACTATGAAAAAATGAGAAGGTTAGTTAAACAGAAATTAAAAGGTACAGTGACTAGAGTGAAATCCCTGCAAGCTGCATGGACACTTTTCAAAGACACCATAATAGAGGCCCAACTTAAATGTATACTCCAAATTAAAAAACACAGTAAAAGAACTAAAAAAGAGCCAGTGTGACTTAACCATGTAAAAGAAGCAGTGGGAGATAAAAAGGCATCTTTTAAAATATGGAAGTCAAATCCTAGTGAGGTAAATAGAAAGGAGCATAAACACTGCCAAATTAAGTATAAAAATGTAATAAGAAAAGCCAAAAAGGAGTTTGAAGAACAGCTAGCCAAAAACTCAAAATTTAATAACAACATGTTTTTTAAGTATATCAGAAGCAGGAAGCCTGCTAAACAACCACTGGGGCACCTGGATGATCGAGATACAAAAGGAGCACTTAAACACGATAAAGTCATTGCGGAGAAACTAAAT